CGCGAGGGAATCCGAGACAATAGCACGAAAATGATTAAGGGCTGTGTTCGTGTTCAGAACCTCGGCCTCCGTTTGAGCCACTAAACTAGAGGTCAACAAACCAAGGCCCACCGAGTGTACCCGAATTAGCAAGATAAATCGTAAGGAACACGAGACAATGGAACAATGGTGTATTATGAGTAAAAAAGCTATGCTTAACAAGTTATAAAAGGAAATGGAAATGTGACAACGCATCATCAACTCGTTTTTCAAGAGACGACGTAATTACGGAGGGCATTCCAAGCCTGGCACACGCGGAGGGAAAAGAAATTTCTATGGCATTTAAACCGGCTAAATTGTATTGTCAGTATCAGAGGATGAGCTCTTAGTTTAGCGTTGTGGTTCAATTCCATCAGCTGACGGCAAATGTGGTCTGGATTCTTCAGAATCTGGTAAACCTTTATGAGAACCCCTCGCAAACGCCGATATCGACTGCTGTACATTCTTATAGATTTCAGTCTAAGCTGACAGGGTAGATGATAGAGGTCACTCACGTTCTTGGTCGCCCTTCGTTGAGGAATCCAGAGAGCAACGAGATCCTGTTTCTGCCATGGCTGGATAGAATGCATATTTAGCTCTGCATTTTACATTGTTAGCGACCTTACTGTTTGAACTGTAGCGTGAGATATTTCAGGGTTGTTACATATGAGAACGTACTTTCGTACAATAGGTGACTCCACATCGTTGAACACTGCATGAAATCCATTCATCCGTGCACTCTACCGTGTGGAAATTATTGAGAATACCTGTAGCTCGGGGTGTGGATTAGATGATTGACCTGTTCTCCGAGCTGGGCCTTTCTGTTGCAGATGTTTCGTTACCAAACTAGGTAACATCTCCAGTGCGGCTATTCAGTCCTGATTCGCGGAGTCTCGCAAACCAATGCCAGATCCGAGTGACTATTGATTGTTGCCTGCTTCGAATGTCAGCCTTCGATCGATTCACGTGAGCCGGTCGAGTGGGCACCACTTCTCCTAGTCGATCAAGTGCCTAATGCTGGCTTAACCTGCAGAGCTTCATAGACACCCTCCAGCTCCAGGTGTTTGTTGATTGAGTTCCGGTCAGAATGCCAGGCCTCGAGGAACTCACGCGCTCAGCGGTTTCTTGCTCTTCCAACTACTTCAACGTTCTCCAGATCGAATTGATGGTTCTCGGCATCCATGTGTACTGACATTAGGGATTTTTCATCGCGGCGGCGGATGGCCAGACTATGTTCGTGCAGTCTTGTGCAAGATAAAACCACCGAGGATGAACGTACCAAAGAAAACTAATGGTGCATATTCCTTTCAAAGGCGACAGTGCGGCTGATGCCCTGTCCAAACGCCTGAAAGACGCTGTTGAAAAGACCTATTTCGCGGCTGGCCTACGCATAGTATTTTACAAGCCTTTATTCGCAAAACCTTTGAAAGACAGGCTGCCTCCGGTGACTCGATCAATGCTTGTTTATCTTTACTCGTGCTACTGTGGTGCACGATACGTGGGTCGTACCACGAGGCACCTATCTCATAGGACTCGCGAACACATCCCAAAGTGGTTTTACAAAGGCGAAGCGAGGTCCAGTCACACTTCCATATTGTCTCACCTTCTAGAGTGCAGTCACGCAGGGACGGGAAATGACTATAGAGTCATCTATACTGTTCCTGAAGGTATCTTGCGCGGATTCCGGAGGCATCTAATGTCTATTGCGGAAGCTATCTAATTCCGCCACGTCAAACCAGAAATGCGCGTACAAAAACAGTTTGTACCTCCTTTACTTCTACCGTGGCCCACAATTTTGGCTGTGATTTCCCCTGTACATACTTGCCACTTTCAATGACCCCGTGATTTATTGATTTATTCCTGCTGAAATTAAACATTATGTTCAATACGCAGCCCAATCCGGCATATTTAGCACCTTCTCGTCGTGGTCTAATGTTTGAGTCTGATGAGAATTACCGAAAAGAATTCTTTACTCAAATTCTCCCTCACTTGGTTCATTCGCTATGATTTCCAACTATTGTGCATATTGATTATGCGGCCCACGCTAATCGTTTCCTTAGCTATCCGACTCGCATTAATCATTTTTCCAGGAATCCGGTCCGCGCCAGTCAATTTTCTCAGTTATCCGGCCCGCCGCGAAAAAAGTTTGGTGACGACTGCCATAAACTAACCGATCATGGTTCTGCCCGCACCACCCGAGCAGGAATAAATCCGGAAGCACGGTGCCAACTGAACTGACCTCGAGAGTGCTCTACCCAACGAGCCATACGGCGTTCCCTATGGTGAATTAGGACACCCACGCAGCCTCTGATTGTCTCGCTGGCACATGGTTTTTTGGGATCGGTGGTGCGGACCAGTTGGAAGAGCTTGGAATAATAGCCAACTGTTCCCGCCTCTTCCATTTCCCGAGTCTTCTTTGTCAACATGCAGACTACACTTTAGTTCGCGCCTAGTAGTCCGTCGGGTCACACTGTGCTCAGAGACAACCGGGAGTTTACTACGGGTTGCAACAAATTTATTGAGCTCTAGGATATCCAGTGGCTGCTGCGGCGACGATTAATAGTGCCGCTGAGATCCTATTCCATTGAAGCTCAGTGTCCTTAGGATAAAAGAGCGAAAGTTCGGTACGCAAGGCATCAAGGTACGTATGTTTGACCGAGAGCTGTGACAACCTCTCAGTTGCCACTCGAGGGAGACGCTTGGTACGCCTCCCAGTAAGATTCATGAAAAAACAATGTGCCAATGCATGAGCAGTCGACGCAAACACGCTAGAACAAGCGAGCATCCAGGATGGAAGAACGCCACTTGTAATTTTCGGCAATGTAATCTATTTAGGTCTATTGCTGGCCGGCTATAGGTGATCGCCAAGTGATACTTCGAGGCCCACTGTCTCTAAAAGCCGTGCAACTAAGAAACAACCGGTGCTCCGCACCCAGTTTCAAGAGAGGGTAGCTATTGCCCGCACGATCGGAGCACTGGGCCCCTGTTTAACAAAGGAACAAACGAAAGGCGTATGAACTGAGCAATCAGTCACCGGCTCCCAATGGGCGCGATTCCCTGAATTCGCTCCACTGCCTTGCGGACAGGGTATTCAGCCAAAGGCTCGGGGTGGTGTCCCCTAAATCAACACCCTACTTCGGCTTGGGCAACCGGGTAGTATCTCGTCCTCTGACGAAACCATGGACATTGTTGTGTTGTGTTTTCCTTTACTATTTCTGTACCTTCGTTTGTATCCCATGGTTTCTGGTGGCATGATGTATATTCGTAGACGTTTGCAAATATATATATATATATATATATATATATATATATATATATATATGAACGGAGTTAAGCCCACAATTCCCACCTGAGCTTCTACAGAGCTCAAACGACCTACTTGCGCATTAAATCCCATGCAAGAACAACGATATCTGTACTGATAGCACTGCGAAGCAGCGTGTTCAGCTCGTAGTAGAATGTGACTTATGCAGCACCAAAACTGCAGTCGGTGGGTGCATAGGCGAAAACAACCAATGAACAGCGTCCGGAACTGCTTCGTGAATCGATCTTAGTTGATGTTGTCCAACAGCTGTTTGCAGGAATCCAATTAACGAAGGATGGTTCTGCCTTGGAGCTGCGAACGATGCCCAGGCCAGCATGATCAGTGGATGCCGCATCCGCGTCTCCGGATTCGTGCAACCAATAGCGAAAAGACAAGTCAGGCGTAGTTAATTTAACGACCTCATGAGGGTCATTGATCCAAGTTTCGGACACACAACACAAGCCAAAGCCCAGTGAGTCTGACGTGCGTGCGAGTGCAGCCCGTTGACCAATTTGCCTAAAGTGCGAACGTTGAGCGCCGCCAGTGAAACGGAGCCGCGTGTCATCATAAGGGACTTGCTGTTAGGCGTCCAGTGGATGGTGCGGGAAAGTAGCTGCAGATGGTAGAACTCTAGTGGTATTGCGGTTGCTGTCAATTAGGCTGGGAATTATAGAAGGTAGGCTAGTAGTGGGGGTCGGGATGGGAGTAAGAGAGACATGTGGAAAGGTAAGAAGTTGCCAAAAGTAGCATGTTAACGCTTATCTGCCCTGATGTATGCAGTAGATAAGGCGACCCTTGGCAATTTGCGGGAAGGTCGATGAAGGATGAGGTTGACGTTTGATGAAGTAACTATGGTTGTATAGACAAGTAAAGTCAAGAATGCGCCTTATGTACCCTTGAAGAGTGAATATTCAGCTCTAGCACACACGCCACAGAGTGGGATAAATAATGAAAAGGAATAGTATATGAGGATAAATATGAAACCATGATCGTTAAAAAAAGATTTGGCACGGCAAATATCGCCAGAATAATTTACTAGTCAGTTCTTTAGTAACTGGGAAAGGAACTACCGATGTACCATAGGCCCTTGTGCGGGTGTATATAGTTTTGTAGACCCAGTTTCGTCGAAACTATGTCACAGCTTGCAGCCACTATTTCCATGCTAGCTTGTCATTTTAGATGCGAACAGAGAGAAGATGGGGTTACTCTTTAACATAGGTGGGCTGAATCGCTCTGCTTACAGCTCAAACCGTCGGCCGGTGACCTAGTGGTCTGCGCGCGCGGCTTGCAATCAGAATCACCGGTTCGAATCCGCGTAGGGGCGGGCGTCCTCGCGCTATACAGCACTCGCACGACTGGTGGTGGTCGAGTGGCAGCGAAGCGCCGTTACGGCGTACAATTGACACAGCGTAAACCATACACGCTATAAGCAATTTAAAAGTAAGAAGAAATAAGCTAAAGGTATGTGGACCGAAACTGCGTTCGCTACGCGACTGATCAGTATCTTCTAGGGATGTACTATCTATGTTTACACGAGTTCGTGCTCCGGAGCCACAGGCATGATAACACGCCATGTGGTCGACCGCGCAAGCTATCAGCACTTAATCACGGTGAAATCGGCCACGGCAGGTCTCTGACCCGCATGCAACATGAATATGTGAATAAAATGGACGACTGTGGTTGAACCAGAGCTAATAGTTAGAAGCAGTGCTGCTGAAAACAAACAGCGCTAAGAAAAGCTGATGAAAGTAAATGATTGTGACATAAACAAACCGCTTGCACCAACTGTTTAAAGATCGCATGAGGATGATAATTAGAGCAATCGATTGAGAAGATAAACATATGTATCTAGTTGAATAAGAAATCACAAAATTATCACTATCAAAGTAACGAAATGCGCATAATAAGTAACACAAGAGAAGGAAGTAGTACAGATTCATGGGTGGGCTACAAATTGGTCATCTTCATTGGAGCACCCTGCTTAATTCGGGGAATTGGCGCTGTGGCTGCCGCAGGTGATAGCGCATGTGCGTTACTGATACGTTGCGATGCAGTGGTAAGTTCACGAAATCGTTTCATGACATCTACAAGAGCCCGATCTCTACGAGCCACCGGATCCTGCCGACGCATGATTGGGTGCCACCGTACGTAGTACCCTGTCCAGAATTGCAGCTGCGCAAGTGAATGCTGGGGAAATATCATGCGATGTCCAGATATTTCAGCTGGTGTATATAATGGATTCAAATAGCTCTTGATATCAGAGTTTATATGGGACCAAAGCGATATTGTACGCTCCCTGACGCCGTGATCACGCGCTTTCATCTCACAGTTGAATAAAAAGGTACCGAACTTTGCAGCGTATAACTCGTCCATAATGGTAATTAGAAAACGTTCGTTGAACTCGAACGAATGGGGAAACTGCTGGGTAAGCTGCCAGACACAATCAATAAATTGTAGAAACACGGGTGAGCGCTCTTCGGGACTGGACAACTTCCCAGGAGTGGGGTCGGCTCCGACAGTTGGCGTTGCTAACGACCCACTGGCAGGTACAACCACACCTCCATCCGCAGGACCGCCAGTCCGCTGAGCAAACTTGTGACCAAAAGAGCACCACTCTTTCTCGATGAGAACCTCGAAACCGCGCAGGGTGCGGTAAAATGGGTCGAGCATCAACATTGCTAAGGATATAACTTGAGCAGTGCGGTCCCACCCATCGGAGCAATGAACCAGGACGGATGTTTTATGGTTCTCTATCTGGAAAAGGTTCAAAACGTAGGAGACGCTTTATGTTGGAAGAGCGTACAATGATTACTTTGAAAGTATAGTACGTGGATGGACAACTAAAGCATTCGTAGACTGCGAAACTACGTAGATAATTCTAAAGGGAAATACTTTTTTGTGATGATTCTGAGTCGTTCAGCGGTGCTATCTACCACAATAGTACAGATGGCGAACCATGTTACAGGAGAAATATAAAGTACCGAAAGGAAACATTATCTATAGAAACGGAGAGTCTGCCACCAAAATATAACGGGAGTTTTGCCGAGGGTGCAAGAATCGCGTAAACGTACACTTAACGACGGAGGTACAACAACGGTTATAATAAAAGTAATATAATTGTCAATACATTTTCGTAAAGGTTATACACGGTCCAGTGAATCCGATCCAATTAATATGAACAGGCATCATGTCTCTTAAGGTACAACGGTTGTTGATCCATGGCGAGCGATTTCGATTTAATTTGCTACCAGATATTTCCTCCAAAATTCATCATTCGTTCGTAATGATCATCTTATCATAATGTAAGAACTGCAGTTTCGGAAGCCGTAAAGTGAAAGTAAGTAAGTGAAAGTGGACTGTAAACAAAGCATTGAAAAGCGAATTGAAAAGAACAGGATGAATTTGAAAGAAAAAGTGACTTGTGGATGTGACAGTGAGTTACAGAGCTCATGTATACAAAGCATCATCATCAATACACGTTAGTTGAGAGTGAGAAACACGCCACAACTACTGTGCCTCAATACAAAAAGTGAGATATTAGGCAGTACAGAGTAAAAATACAAATTGAAGACGTGATCGGAGTATATGCCCGTGCTCCAAATCAAGCGACAGTTTAGGAAGCAGCCTCTCCAGTGATAACTGATTAAAAAACGATCGCGTCCACGGTTGGTCTAACACTGGTGTGCGCCAAGTTACACTTCCGCAAGTGCTGTGTCGGAAGTTAGTGCTCGCGAGAAAGAGACGTGTATCTTCACACAGATGTAGCAGCCACTCAAGGTTATCATTAGGGGAGCCTACACCGTTATGGCCACCAATATGAAGCTCGACATTAGCAAATTTTCCAATTCTGGAGTTTAAACCACCAGTCAGCACTACAGTATCCGTAGTTCTTCTGTACTGATACTGATACTGATTAGAAGCAGCGAGGAGAGCATACTCTATGTAGCTGCATCAATTGTCGATCTTGGACATCAACCTATTAATTATCATTCCGCTCTTTATATTTTGCCTCTGCGAAATGTTTGTCTAGAAGCTTCTTAAATTCGGCTACTGAATTCGCCTCTATTACCGGCTGCGGCAGGTTGTTCCAGGTATTCACCACTCTACGTTCGAAACAGAGTTGGTGAGCTACCCGCTTCAACTTCGGTACGATAAGTCTGTACCGGTGTCCTCGCGTGCCGCTTGGTGTGCGCAGATGAATCAGTTGTCTCAACATGGGGTAACCACTCAGATGTAATATCTGGTGCGTCATGATTAGGTCAACCCTCAGCCGACGATATGCTAGGGTGTACAGCCCTAGTTTCTTACATCGGTCTTCATATGGCATACCTCGTAAGCTGGGAATCAGCCTGGTGGCTACATGCTGCACCCGCTCAAGCTTTTCTACCTCGCCCAGCGTGATGGGACAATATGCGGGAGAGCCGTACTCTAGCATTGGTCGTATTATCGACGAGACGAAGAGGCGAGAAGCAATCTCTTCGGACCAAGTGCTGAAGCTGCGCCTAAGCGCCCAAAGCATCCGAAGGCTGTTTTGGTACAGCCTATTCGTGTTGTCAATGGACTTTCGGTCGCAGCGTGAGAGTACACCGAGGTCGCGCACGAAAGACGCGGGATGCAGCGGTTGATCAGCCACTGTGTACGTTCGGCTGTGCTCGCATTTACCCAACCTCATGAATTGCGACTTAGCAGGGTTGATCGGAAGGTTAACCTCTGCAGACCATGTCGAGAGGCTGTCGAGATCCTGCTGAAGTAAATCATAATCATTGAGTGTGCGGATTACTCTCCACACCTTCAAGTCATCTGCGAACAACGCACATGGTGATTGGAGTAGCTTAGGCACATCGTTTACATGGATCAGAAACAATATCGGCCCCAGTACAGTGCCTTGGGGCACGCCGCTGCTCGATGAATATTAGTCCGTTAGATGGTTGTCCACCTGGACTCTCCACTTTCGATTAACTAGGAAATTTCTGATCCATTTGTGTAGCGAACCAGCAATACCGTACATCCTCAGCCTGTCAAGGAACACTGCATGGTTAACCTTGTCAAAAGCCTTACTGAAGTCAATGTAAATGACATCGACTGAATGGCCTTGGTTCATCGCTTGTAATCACTCGTGCCTTGTCAACAGTAGGTTGGTGATGCACGAGCGACCTTTCATGAAACCATGCTGTGCGGAGGTCAACAGGTTTTTCGACTCGAGAAGCTGCAGAAGATTCTTCTTCACGATCTTCTCGAGCGTCTTTGACAAAACAGCAGTCAGGCAGATCGGTCAGTAGTTATCCACTTTACTTGGGTTACCACCTTTCGGTATAGGCTTTACGACTGAGCATTTCCAGTTGTCTGGTAACAGTCCAGTGGATAGTGACCTGTTAAACAGTTCAGTTACAGAAGGCGCGATGATGGCCGATAGGGACTTGAGGATTAGTGGGTGTATACCATCTGGCCCAGCAGGCTTTGTCCCGTCAAGATTTGCTAGAAGCTTGCGCACATCCTCAATATTGCAGTCCAGGCTGTTAAGTTCGAGTGGAGCGGTACTCGTCGAACTTGTTACAGACACCTGGTCACTTGCAAATACGGAGGCGAAGTGCGTCGCCAATGCGGTCGCACGATCTGTACTCGAAGTTAGGGGCTGCCCATCGGAGCCTTCTAGCACTAGGACATTGGCTACAGACCTCAAGGGCCGCTTCACCTATGCAAAGATCCTCTTGGGAGCAGTTTTTGCGGCGGCTGCAAGCTCCTCTTCGTGGCTTCTGCGTTTTCTTGTGTTCGCGTCGTTGCAGCGATTTCGCTGCCAGATAACACGAACTTGTCCCATAGTCTGCGTCGTCGTCCGGCCAGTTTGTTGTACTCTTTGTCGAACCAATGTGGTTTGACTGGCCCAACTTTTCGAAATTTGAGGGGTACAAATCGGGCGCACAACGATTTTACTCCCCCTTTAATGATAGTCCAACAGGTTTCAATAGATGAATCCTGTGGTAAAGACCAGTCCGTCTGGCTCGCTGCTTGAATGAGGCCATTAAAGTCCGCCTTCCAATAGTTGTAGGCTGGCTCCAGCGGGGGAGAGTACGGCAGTGGTAGTTCCAAGCTGCCTATGATCATCGAGTGGTCGCTCGCTCCCAGAGGCTCTAAGACTTGAATGTTATGCACACACTTCTCACAGCTAGTCAAAAGTAGGTCTAAGCATGATGGAGCCGCGCGCGCAGTAATGCGTGTCGGTTGGTTGATGTGCTGTGTGGCCCCAGTTTCAAATAGCAACTCCGTAAACTTCCTCTCGACTTCACAGTGGCCGGGGAGAAGTTAAGGTTCAGGCCACTGTATTCGAGGCAAGTTGAAATCACCCATGAGTAGGAACATCTGACGACTCATGTGGTTGCGGACATGCGGCAACCAGTCCAAACTGTGGCTCAGTGGGTTGCGATATATCACGCCCACGAGCAACTCGCAGCGTCTGAGGTGAATCGAACACCATAACTGCTCACATAGACCATCAGCGCTTTGGTAGACGCTCACTAGTCTCCCACACAAGGAAGACTTTATGTAAAATAGAACGCCACCGCGATCATTTGATGGTCTATCACAGCGGAAGCATGAGTAGCCGGTGATTTCCACTTCTTGGACGGTTACCTCGGAGTTCAACCATGTCTCAGCAAGGCCTAATACGTCTAGTCGCTGAGAGCTTACAAAGTCGTACAGCACATCGCGCTTGTTCATCAGACTGCATACGTTAGTAAAGGCTACGCGCAGACCGCGGTAGGAACCGCTGGGCGCGCCTGAAGCATTAGAGACCTGTTGATCCGGATTCGTGGAGGAATCCGGGCAACTACCCGAAAATTTACAATTCACAGATTGGGTTCTCCATCCTCCGTGCGTCGCTTTAATTCGATCATACCAGACTTGAGCTTTTCTCTGTCTGCCGGGTCTAAGTCAGCGCGCACGTGAATCATTAGACCCTTCAGCCTATGAAGATGGGACAAGAGTAACTTGGGGCTTTCTTCCTCGACAAAAGTTACCCTCATAGGCCGACTTTTGCCCTCCATTCTTTTTCCTAGACGGGCGCTCTGCTGAACTTTGAGCCCGCCCTCATTTACATCGAGTTGTCTATCAATCAATGATTGTAAAAACTCGACGTCGTGCTCATAGCGCATCTGAGGGTTGGAATCACTTGATTCAGGTGCGTGAAATATCATGAGGCTACGGCGCCTCATGTCGTTAGACACTGCTCTTGGTTTTCTCGATGTTTGTATTTTCCATTCGTTATCGTCAATTTGTTTATTGCAAACTGGAGGTTTACTGTCAACTGAACATATTGCCGGCCTTGAGGGAGATCCTGATGGAACTTTAGTATCTTGGTTCCGAGATGGACGCGATGTACTAGGCACTGGCTGCTTCCCTGCGTGTGGTGTAGCACAAGACGAGCTGTAACGAAGAATGGCGTTCAACCGGTGGTGGAATTCATCTTTCACCGAGTCAAGGATACAATGTATAGGCACCGTTTGAATCTCGCACGATTTCGAAGCTTTGAACCAGGGCACATCCGACTGTTCATTGGTATCCAACAGGGGGATAAAAATTTGGTTGGAACGGGCGATAAAGATGAAAAAGCGCGAGAGGGAGTAAGACGGGAAGGTCTGAGCAGTAGCATCCTTGCCCATATCCACCTTACTCCATGCAGCAGAAAGGGCGCCGTTGATTATCCTTTGAGACGGTCAGAGCATTAAGAAATCGTCGGAAGAGAAATTCCCTGTATTGCGTGGGCAGGTTGCCCAAGCCCAGACAGAAGAACGATTAGGGTTCTCGGTCAACGCCTTTAGTTCGAAAACCTAACCGCAAGGTAGTGGGGTTTGTGGCACTAGGCAACACGAACTCCGTTCTATGGAATGATGAGCCATTCTCACTCCAACCTCAACGTTGAGTGCCAGGAGACTGAGTTTGTCAGGCCTCTAACCACTGGCCAATCTGGTATGAGTGGCTCTGGTGCAAAAGCACCATCCAGCATAGCCCAATGGATGGCTGGGGCACGCAAACCATCGCACCAAGTTAAGGTCCAGTCTGGTCGCGATGATCACGTATATAAAACGTACAGCGGAATCGGTCTACTTTATGGGATACTTTGGGTAGGCTGATCAACAGGAAATATTTCGGTAAAAAGTAAATTTATGTTGGAAGCGACGTTTGTGACTAGTAGAGGCGGTGCAAGTTATTCAGGACGAGGTTTGTAAGGTAATAAAAATAATGCTAAACACTAACTAAAGAGGTCGACAAGGTTTAGAACTTGGGTTAGGAAGGTGATCGGGCCATGAGGTCAACGAAAGTTTTAAGAGATGTTATACTAGGCCTGAAAGTCAGTTTTTAAAATGCGTCGGTTATTTCACTAGCGAATGATAAAACTAAATAAAACTGAGACGAAGTACTTAAGGACAAGGCGGGCTGCAGGATTATTGAGAGGACTTGTGTGTCCAATTTACCAACATATCAGTGGTTCCACAAGCGGATGACAAGTGTTCAAACAGGAAGAATGAAGTTATGAGTGAAGCGATAGTTAACTGCGGCCCGTAGCCTTAAGGATCTCAAGCCTGCCTTGTAATCTGAGGGCGCGGGTTCGATGCTGCGTAAGGACCGGGTGACCCCCGCAGTATCTTAGCCCAGGTGCGACCGGCGGTGGTTACGCCGCAGCGAAACGTCGGTACTGCGTCCGGTAGTACTGCTGATGCTTGTTAGTTAACTGGGTTTAATAACCCAACTGTGATGGGACTGTGCAAGCAGGATTTACTTGACGAAGCGAGCAGCTACCTTTCCGCAAGCGAACAGAGCAGATGATTGGGTGCCTACTTATCTTCGCCTATACGCTGATTGGTTCACATTTGGCAGCGCTGGAGTTTGGTTGACTGATTCAAAGGAAGAACGGAAGAAGAGCGTCGTTAGTTATAGGAGTGACCTAGTGGTGTACATCAAGGCTTCTACGAGCTAGTCATACTGTCAAGTTCGCTGAGCTTGCTTTGTCGAATAAACCATTTGTCCCTGAATGCTGAATTTTGCGACATCAATCAACAAATTTGCCAGTGGTTTAACCAACACAAGGCAACAGTATAGCCTAATAAAATTAAGGCAACGTAGGGAGAAAAAAATCTGGATATCCAACCCATCGATATCCAAGTTGGGCCACTGGTAAACGGTGAATCTTAGGGTCACGTAAAACCGGAAAGATTAATAGAAAACAAACGTAAATTGGAGGAAAGCAAGTGCTTTTTCTGTTTCAAGTGACACGATCATTTGAAACTTTCGGTTAGATACCATTCGTGCTTTGTTCATACGCTGGAAGAACAGTTGTGGAACAGCCCAGCTACTCCAACGTTTATACGAATAAATGTACGGATGTTGACTAGTAATTTGTTCCATATTCTAGAGCACCGAATTAGAATAGCTTGATGAGGCGCATGTTTCTGACCCATTTCCACTAAAGAATTTTCCTCCTTACGTGAAGTATTCAGCTGATTTTAAAAGTTGTATAATTATAGTCGTGCGTAATTTTTGTGTAGAATATAGAAAAAACACGCGTCAAGTTTAACTTTATGTGTCGTGGAAGTAATGTGTAAGGCCCAAATAAATTACAATGCTCAAAGCAGGATAGCAATGAACATGCAGAAATTTCCACTGATGATGAACCAATGGAAAACAATTGTTTGTCGAAAGTTTACCGCTCATTTTCCTCTTTGGAATACTCAGAAATGGGCATCTTACATGAATTTCCGCTGGAAGTAAAACTCGTTATTGGTTTTCCTTGTTCCATGAAGACAATACAAAGCTTGCAGTGCTCACCTTGTCTGCAACACTGGTTGCCGCGAAGATAATTTGTTTGATATGATAGAGCCACTTCGAATCAGATAACACTTTAAGCCAATTTGTCTCCTTGGGGTGTGGAAAACAGGCTTCGAACACATGAGTGAGAGCGGCCCGCATCGCGTGAATGTTCTGAATGTTTAAAAACATATACTGAACATTTTCGTAGTAAGTTGGGTTTTCCACACCTCCGCCGCGGCTTTTGTTGGCAACAGCATTCATCTACACGTACGTGAAGCGATGTGAAAAACAGTAATGGTAGGATAGGCCATATGTAAATATGTAGTAATAAACACTCGTAAACAGGCGTGTGAAAAGCGAAACTTCTGTCGTCATCAGACAAATGCGCTAGAATAGTTCCATAGGATGGAGCACGAGGAAAGTAAGTCGCAACCTATGTTACACAACTGCACACCGTTGGTGGTGATACGTGATAGTTCAAAAGAGGTTATTCGGTCACGTTAAAGAAGCGTACTTACCTTTCAACTTTCAAACGAAAAGTCTCCTTCAGATCTCCTTCGATCACTATGAATCACCACAGTGTGTACCTTCGACAAAGTAATACGCCTAGTACACAAAACCTTAAGAAAGGACTTATAATGCGAACAAAATCATTTGAATTGTAAATTATTGGGGTTTCTTTACATCAGCTGCGCAACCAGGCAGTCTCACATTGTCTCGATTCGCATGTAGCAATGCGTAACTTAGCACACGAAAACGTACCTGTTTAAGTGTCAAATGCGGTGTTACCACGCCTCCATACGCAAAATAACAGCATCACACATATATCCACTAATGAGTACCTAGTATGAAATGGACATCAAACTCAGAGACAGGATTGTAACCAGGGGGTGGTATCTTGCACTGCAGCAGTACCACTGCTGTGGAGCCCTCATGGGTCCACAGACATTCCACGTCGAGCCATTCCCTCTCGCTGACCCCGTCCCACTGTTTCCGCATAGAAACTCACACAGATAACAATTATACCGATGTTTCCTCGGTGTCACCGTTAGCTACTTCCATTACGTCACTTAGCTGAGCTTATCAGGCAACAATTAACCTGCCGCAAGCAGCCAGTAATTCCCTCGGTAACACCGGTGCTGGGTGACAACTCACATTAATTGATGTTCGCCTTTGTAAATGCCTTTTTACTCTCGTCAGCCCGGAAACACAGTGCTATAAATACGGAGGTACAGAATTCATGTCCGCCTTTCTTGAGTCAGTAGAAGCGTTCTTGTCGAAGAACTGTATTCTCCCTCTCGGTCTAGCGTTGCAGTTCTGGGACTGCGCAAGTCTCACGTGTGGGATAATCCCAGCTAGGATCTGCGGGGGCGTAAGCGGTGTAAATTTCGTGCAGCCACTCGAGGCGTGGGGAACGACACCGACAAGCGTTATTAGCTCGGCTAAGCAGCATACTTAACAACCACAAGGACTTGAAAGCCTCTAAAAGTAACAGTTCAGGCAGTTGCAACCATGCATTTATGTATTATCTCATGTTGTTCTTGTTGGCAACTTGTACTTATGAGCCTGATTACTCTGTCAATCCAACTGTTGATTATTACACGCAAATGGTTTCCACCTGATAAACTGGCTGAACACTCATCCATATGCAACAGACAATTGGGGAAGCTTTATGGGAAGCAAGGAAAAGTAACCTCATGCCGAATGGAAATTTGGAAATAGTTTAAAAAAACTATAAGGAATATAGTTCAGATAGGCCAACAAATTCGCACCACAGACTGAATGAAAGTTATCCACGCCTGGGGCTGTAAAAAAAGCTTGTTGGAAACGGTTGAAGCTATTGCTATCAGAATTGTGTAAACAGAGGGCATTGGTGCAAGGCATCATTTTGCAGTGGACAGCCCATTCAGCTGACTTGCCCGTTGGTCTGCGGTGGTGTTCCAGATGGCCATCAGTTGCTGCCGCCTCCAGTCACCTACCTAGTTTCTCTAATGCCGTAGGTAAAGGCAACTCCTCAAGCTGAAAGTAGCCGCCAATGTCAGCTAACTCATGATACATAATTGCACACACCTGATGAGATTGATCGTAAAGAAGCTTTTTCTACAAGCATCTCACCTCTTAAAGCAAACATGACTACCATATGAAGCGTTGAAACAGCTCTCTTCGGTATCTTCATTTGATGAATGACCACCGAAAAAGCTGCGGTTCGTTAGATGTACAGGTTTAGAAACATTCTCGAGGTAGGGAAGCATTACCCGTTTATTTATCTGTTCTTGTGGCTGTTGAGGTGTACTCCATTTCAGGCTTCCTCTAATAGTTTCGTGGATATCGGTAGTTTTGTAACAGGCGGTATAGGTAGTTCCCCTCCTTCATTCTTAATTTCATTGCGCGGCAGTCTTCCCGTCCTTGTGAATAGTGTTTGGATACAGATCTTTTCGTGATTCATCGGGTAGCTACTGTGGTAGTTCATTTCTTGATCTGTGTGTATCTTCTCCCGATATATAAAAGTTTGAAGTGTGCCGTCGGTGTCTCTGTGAACCAAAACATCCAGGAATGATAATTTGTTGTCTTCCTCTAAGTCAATGGTGAAGTTGATGTCCGCGAATGTGTTGTCTGTCAAGTCGTGTGTAGGCAGTACTAAATTTCGTTTTATCATGACAGATTTATGCTCGAGGTATCGGATCCAAAACCTTGGGTTGATCAGCGGCATGGTACTGTGCTTCAAGTTTTGCATTACAGCTTCGGCAATGAGACCTGATATGGGTGACCCAATGGGCACCCCTTTCAGTTGTTGATATATTTGTCCAACATGGATAAACAAGTAGTCATGCATAGGTCCAACGGTACCCACACATTTTCCGTTTTCATGTTTCGTGTGACGCTCGGCTGATTTCGGTTGATTCCATCATGGTCACCTTGGCAAGTTCGTGGTTGCACGATGTGATGACAGCAATAACATCAAATGTCAGCATAAACCCATTGTCCCCGATTCTGACACCTTGCAAATTGTCAAGGATCATTTTATCTCTTGACCAGATCCGGCGACAAAGGGTTTTAATTTCCTCCAAAGGTTCTTTGCTAGTTTGTATGACGGAGTACCCGGTAGCGACGCGATTGGTCAAAGTAGGGTCCCATCTTAGTGTACATTCGGTAGCCCAAAGAATTGGGTAATATTGTTATTGACCGCTTATTGGATGGTGATTACATTTCGCTTGCAGTTTCTTCTGGGCTGTATTGATTCGGATGAGTAGTTTCGTGCTAGTGTCCTGATCGATGCAGCGATAAGTAGCCGTGTCAGAAGGAGTTGTTTGGCCTTTTCAGTGTTATCCGGTTTATTCAATACTAATAACACTGCCATGCGTCCTTTGTCCGCTGGAAGAATTACGGCATTTTATTCTCTGTAGATTTCTGAGCGTTTGTTGTTCTTCTTTAGAAAGAGCTTGTGTTTCAGAGAGCAGAACCGCGCCGCCCTATTTGTACTCCTTGTGTTTCGTCGTTCAAATATGAGGAGCGGCAGCTCAGTAGTGGATTCTTTGTGCGGTACACAATCACGCTTTGCATACCTATAAGGATGATGATGATGGCCATGCCACCAACACATGTTGTTGAAACATGACCAAGGAATTGCAATTAACATATGACACAGGAACGTGTTATAGTGAACCACCGTTGGGAACTGTGGAATAAGTTTAGTCTTGTCTAGAACTGTGTTACACGATTTTTGACAGTTCTACGTAACTCATTAGCGGCGTCAGAAGTATCGTTTACCGGTCCATTGTCTAACATCAGACCTCGCGGACCCCCTTTGTGTTTCGGCATAAGTAAGGAATCTTCCCACTGCGGCGGGAAGCAGCCAGTGTTTGATAACAGTGCAAAACTGTGCAACATGAAGAGGGGTATGTTTTCGCCACCTAACCTTATAGCTGCAGGGGGAATACCATTAGGTCCCGGCTGGAATGTCGGTGAGTTGGATGTAATGGTCACTCCTGTGTCCTTTAGACTCAGAAGAATGGTAGAGCAAATAAATAAATAAATGGATTTATTCTCGAAAGGTTTGAGGCACGCCCCGCTAGGCATGATCAAATTGTTACAAGCACTGATGTAGTGTCAGGTTAAAGGCAAAATTGGCTTTGGAAAGTGTGCAATTGTTGTAAAGGATAAGTGGACACATTTTGAAATGGAATCGAAGCGACCATAGGTGGGTGTTTGCATCAGCCGTCAAAGGGATCAGTGTTGACCTTTGTCGTAGATGTTATGACGTCCGTACATGTAACACTTTCGTGAATTCGCCTGCGGCTATGGCCGAGTCTGCTGTGGTGAAGAATCGATCCCAACACGTGGTCCAAAGCAGTTTGTCAAATGTGCTCCAATCAATAAAGTGTGGTTAGGGGTACTGGCTTCCTTATTGCCGCTGACTTTTTAGATGGCCTGATATTCATGCTGCAGAGCATCGTTTTGTGCACACAACCTGTTAATGGGTCATCGATTAATACATAAACAGATGGAACATTCATTGGTGAAACCAAAAGAGATCTAAGACGTTATCTAAAAAATGATCATGGAGCGCTCGTAAACGCTTATCTAAGTTGAACAATGTTCTCACCACCAGCTCGACCCACTGGTTTCGACGGCTGAGAAGCAATCTTACTCTTCTCTGCAGTATAATATACGCACGAGTATTCTCAACCAGTACGGCTGTCACTACAAAATGGCTCAACCTATCCCACATGTCTCTACTCGTAGAGAACCAAGGAAAATATCCGCTTAAATTCCTTCCTAGTGAGGTACGCCCATCTGTGAAATAAACAACTGTTGCAATTAAGAACGAGCGAGAGCCTGTCTACGGCTGGCTTGCCGAACAACCTCCTCGTGGTGCCAGCTGGGTAATTCGGGATTATCCCGTTCCAGAGAATGGTTCGGAGGCAGTGTTCCAGGACGTGGTGGGTTTTCGCCTGGCAAGCGTTCTCCCTATAAAAAGCCACATATGTCCGTTTAACAACACTGTGACGTGGTGGATGTGACTCGTCACTAATTAAAGTCACTGCCTCTTGCCTCTCTCTGAGCGGCATTGTAAATCAAAGGTGTGCTGGGCCCCTGGTCTTTTGAGGTCCTAAAGGTGTATGAACCCCTTGTTTGGTCACCGGCTCCCAAGAGGTTGCGATACCCTCATATCACACCGCTGGCTTGTAGGTTAGATCCTGGATCAAAGGCTCGGGGTGGGGCCACCTAAGACAACCCTCTACTTCGGCCTGGACAACCGGGTAGTATCATGCCAAATGACGAATCATGGAAGGATTACACTACTGCTTTCCCTCTAGCAATGTCTACTGGCTTTACTGTCTCTGCTGCTCAACATCCGTTCACAGATCGTCCTATGTTTAGTTCCTCAACTGCACTTATGTATTCCCCGGTCACCGTCAACAATAGCTCACTGGTCGCATCTGACAGAGTTCTGAGCCAAAGCTTTGGTGTTCATTGCCCGGTGGTCACAAAATCCTTACATTCAACCGAAGCCCAAGCTTTCCTTCGTCCTGGTTCTCCATTCGGCATTGCAGCGTTTAATGTGCACAAGGTGATGCAGATCGAACAACAAGCATGTCTGGCCCGCACCCTTGAGATACTCTCCGTGGACATCTGCTGTCTTTCCGAAACCAGGTAGCAAGACGCCAGTACCGTCATTAAAATGACATCTCGGGTAAACCCTGACGTCAAATATCACTTGCGCCTTTCCGGAGACCCAGAGGCCACTACTTCTGGTCAAGTTGGTGTCGGGGTTGCACTGAGTGATAGGGCTGAGGTCGCTTTGCTTGACTGGATCCCAGTCAACAGCCGGCTATGTGCAGTCAGATTACGAGGTTCATGTAAATTAAGTAAGTGTCGAGATGTTACGCGTGCCTTGTGTCATATCCGCCTAGGTTCCTACAGACTGCAGCCCGGATGCAGTCAAGGATTTTTTTACTAAGAAATACATGAGCTTCTGCGTTCCGATAAAAGTTTGACATTGCCATTTTTGCCGGAGATTTTAACGCACGAGTGGGCGGCCTGCCACCAAGCGAAGACCAGCTTGGGGGTAGTTTTAGCCTCGATAGCAGCCGATCAGACGATGGAGACAGACTACTGACTCTTTGTGCTGATCATCGCTAGTTTCTTTCGAGCAGTAGTTTCCGTCATTCGAAAAGACAGACTGCTACCTGACGTCCGCCTTCTCAAACACAACAGTGGTCCCAGCTTGACCACATAGTAATAAGCTACAGATGGCGCGAAAACGTGACAGACTGCCGATCGTTCTGGTCAACTTGTCAGGACTCCGATCACGCACTGGTTCGCGCCAAAATTTACATGCGTTTTGGAGGACCATCCAGATGTACGCACTACGGACCGAACGTCGAAAATCTGCAACATCCTGTGACGTTAGCCAAGTACCAGGCTTCGCTGTCAACACAACTTGCTTCATCCTCTGACGATGGTCTCAATTCGCAATGGATGCGCATCAAAGACGCTGCAATTGCTACCAGTACTGTCAGTTGTGGATTTGCCTGTCACTCGCTGAAAAGCTGGATCACTACTGCCTCCTTGTCGCTGATGGACAAACGCCGCTTGATCCCAGCCGACACCAGCTGCAGTGAGGAACGCCGATCCGCTGGATCGAGCGTTGCGTAGGCGCCTACAGAAAGACCGTGAGACCTGGTGGTATGAACATGCTAGAGAGCTTGAACTTGCTAATCCCTCTGGTGATACCAGAAAACTGTTCCACCTCATCTGAGTCACCGAAAGCTTCCCATCAGTAGTAAGCGAAACAATGCGAAGATACTAGCTCCCTAATCGCTAATCTTCAACGACAGTTAGAGCGATGGGCCGAACATTTTCGCTCACAGTTTTCTTGGCTGCCAGCTCCATCTGTTTCCCCTGGTGATGAGTGGACTGCCCCAACTGATCCTCCCTCTCACCAGGAAATCTGGCGGGAACTCTGCTGCCTATAGCGTTATTAAACACCCGGCCCTGATAGTCTAGCCCCTGCTCTATTTAAAGATGGGGGCTCTTCGCCGGTTCGAGAACTCCCTGCTTTGTTATCATAAGTCTGGGCAAAAGTGGAGGTTCCATCATCCTGGAGTGAGTAGATAGTCGGCCCCATCTTCAAAAAGGACCTGCGCACAAATTGCTCCAAGTACAGGGGCATAACTTTAGTTCCCGTCGTTAGCAAGATCTTGATGCCCATCATTCTTCGCAGGCTATCCCCAACGCGTGAATCACTACAGCGAGAACAGGCTGGGTTCCGCCCTGGTCGTGGCTGCATCGATCAGATTTCCACACTCCGCCAGATTCGCGAGCTCCACCATTTGTATCAAAGGCAAACGATTGTGGTGTTCCTGGATATCCGTGCTGCCTTCGATTCTGTCCGAAAAGGGCTACATTGTGGCACTGTCTATTGAGGAATGGCATTCCAGGAAAGTTCGTTTCCATTCTGCATGCTCTGCATAGTCTGACCTCGGGTAGAGTTATGGCTTATGGCAAGCTTTCGCCTTCCTTTGTCGTCACCAGTGGGGTTCGACAAGGATGCCCTACCCCTCTAATTCCCTTTAACTTTGCCATTGAGGATGTCCTCAAAAATGCTCTAGACTTGTTGAACACTGGTGTGGAGATACTCCCAGATAGTCGGGTGGTTGATTTGGATTACGTTGATGATATCATCTTGTTGGGTGACAGTCCGCAGACCGTCCAACTTGCATCTAACCGCCTGACAATTGAAACGTCGAAGTATGACATGCACTTTTCACCATTCAAGTGCAAAGCGCTTTTTAAGACTGGTATACGCCCCTACCCGGACACAAAATCGATGGGGAAATGTTAGGAGTTGTGCAGAGTTTTGTCTACCTGAGAAGCTGCATATCTGCTGGTGAGGCTGTTGGAAATGAGATTTCGATGCGGATTTCAAGAGCACGTCTCACCTTCTCCAGGCTGAGGCATTTATGGCACCGCCATGACGTCCGTCTTTCCATTAAAAGACGGGTTTATAGTGCTATTATCCGCACTGTACTGTTTTACGGTTGCGAGACGTGGCCTGCTCGTACCGATGACCTTCGTCAATTGTCTGTCCTCGAGAACCGTTGCTTGAGGTCCATCATCTTTGTGTGGTGGCTGAAACACGTAACCAACGCTGAAGTCAGATAGCGTGTCTTGTGTGGGGACAACCACTCTCTCCAGGCACTTGTATTGCTGCGCCAACTACGATGGCTCGGACACGTACTGCGTATGCCCGTTCAGCTTCTTCCGCGTGTGCCTTATTCGCGGTCGCTGAACAGGGTTGGAGGAGGCGGTGTGGTGGACAGCCTACAACTTGGAGAAGCAGGATGAAAAAGCTGACGAAACAGCTGGCCACGGTTGGTTCCTCCCGACTCCCTGGATGGAGTCCCAAGGATGCTGATTGCGGTTGATTGGGAACCCTGGTAGCCATGGATCGAAACCGAACTCAGTGGCAGGCGTGTATTTCTACTTGTTGCAGTGATTCCCCTTCTCTCCCCCCCCCAAAAAACATCAAAATGACGAAAACTGTGAGTGGAAATGGACAAAAAATTGTTTGTTTCCTTTCTTCTTTTACTCTAACCCTGTTTTCCTATTCCGCCATGGTTCCGATGGCATTATATATATATATATATATATATATATATATATATATATATATATAGAGAGAGAGAGAGAGAGAGAGAGAGAGAGAGGGCCTGTCTACATTTAAATCTCACTTAAAATTTTTCCATGCCAAACATGGCCAAAGCTTCGAGCTTCAGCAATTCACAAGTGCACTCATGGAATCTGGCCCGAAGAGCATATGACGACATTAACTTCGAATAATGTTGCTTATGATATAGCCAACAAAACATTATGTTGTTGTTCCAAACTGAATGCAAGTTCATGAAGGAAATGTTAACGAAACTCGAAGTAAAATTATCGTTTCACAAAAGGAACGTATACTGCACGTTAAGAAATAAACCCATTTATTTATTCATTCATTTTAGGCCTCACAGGAAATTCACGGGTTGCTCGTGTATTGTGAACCAAGTTTCAGCCGTGGGAAGGAGTAAGACTAAGGCCATCAGCTACTTAGTATGCGGTTAGGTTGCACAATGGATGGATTCTATAACTTACTCAGCAACACTAGCTAGAATAGCGTGTTCGACTATTTTGGAGCAAAAAAGGCAATACTCCAGATAACTTATAAGAGTAATCGAATTATGTGCCGATTATGGTCAAACGTGTTCCGCGATGGGACATAGGTATGAATGATAAAGCTTCTCAGGAGACCATGTAAGGTGCTTGCTTTGATGCCATAAGGTTCACGATGAGCGCAGCTGACCATATATTTTTGTGGTGATCGCGGCGACTTACTAAGAAGTGGAAATAAATCGAAGAGGATCATTCTAGGTAGGTTAATGACTACTCATTCGCGAACGCCGAAAGCAAAACCATATAATGAGCAATGATGTGCATCATTTAGGTGCATAAAACCTCAGTCAGTCTTATGAATTTCATGCACAACGAGTTACGGGCGAATAGTTATAAATCAGGTCGCATGCGCTTATACCAGCATTGCATACCGAAATAGATTGATGCCAAAATGAAAGCGCCTGAAGAGACAAAAGAAAACGGTGCAAAAAAATGCGTAATATGACAAGCTTTGGAAGTATTAGTTTACCTGTGGTCGTGCATCAAAAATTAATAAATTATTGGCGTTGGCATTTGCTGTCCGTATTTGACGTACGAGTTCCTCATCTGCCGCACTTCTTCGCCCCTGTACACCCACTTGGGGCTGACTTGCTCTGGTCAAACTGGCCTTACTTTCTGGATGCAGCCAACTCAAGACCGGCACACGACCCCGACTACGATGGGGAGCACAGGCCATGAGAAGCTCATCCGAGACATCCCAAGGCACAGCTAAAAGTGATGGGTATGTGTCAGACAACCGATAGTCGATGTTTATCTGCGAGATAAAAAACAGAAATAGTAAAGCGTAGGAAGGCAATACATTCGGTGTCCATTCTACGATGGAAGATTAGTGAGTATAAGAGCTAACGTTGTAGCTATAGCGGACAGAAAATTGTAATTGATTATATATAGAACTCGCACATTCGTAGGGATATAATCAGTGGAAGCAGAGCAGTGAATCGCTCCCGATAGACAGCTAGCACGGAACCAAGTAATGGGCTACCACAGATGATCCGAATAAAACGTTATTAAAATAGGGGAAACCGAAAAGACAGACGGAAACTGAAGTTACGTAATATACCCACAATAAAGGCTAGAGACATGTAAGAAGCAAACCAATGGAAGGTCGTAGAATGGTTGCAAAGTTACTCATGAATCAGAACACAACACAGTAAAACCCACTTTAGGGATGGAACCAACAAAACCATAGTAGATTTCAGTGACCGATATACTGTCGAAAGTGTCCAAGAAGCTATTATCGTCTATGGAAGCGTCATAGACAGTGAGGGAGTCTTCTAGATATCAATAACATGTATCAGTTGAGGCAGTCAAGTTTCTAAGGAGTACTCTTCTTGAGTTTCGCGAGTAAGATGTCTGTCAATAGCTAGCCTAGGTGAGAGCCCATTGTAACCCAATCAACCGGTCTATATTAAATCTTATCAAGCAAATACTGTACGAGGTGCATACATCGTAGGATCAGCTCTTCCAGCATTGCACAGGAATACCAACGACCTGGTTTTGTTCGATGAGAGCGTCGCAAGTGAAATACAAAGTTTCCGATGGCAGTAAGTTAGTGGAGACCAAATATAAGAGGAAAACATCACTATATCGTTCATTTTGAAACCTAGTCAACTTTTATTCCATCGTCAAATGGATCTTAGTTACTTAAGCGGGCACATAGGGAACTGTCGATGCACAAAGTAACAAACATTGTTGCTTTCATTAAGCGAGTAGATAAAAATAAATAAATAAATAAATAAAGGGTATATTCTTGGTAAAACGAGGCACACCGGTGAAGGCGCGATCAAATATGCATACAAGCATAGCTGCGTTGAAATGGTAAAACATTTCGTTTCAATGAAAGGTATAACCGAAATGTTCGTAGTTCATACGGGTGAGCATTTTGTCAGGTAATAGTCCGACTCAGGAACATGATGGTGCTGGAGCGCGGAAAAATCAGTCATAACTATTGTGTCAATAGTCATGTTCGGTGTGCTTTCGCCATGTTGTAATCCATGAGCACGGGAGCCAAAGTAAAATTTCGGTGCAACCGTTGTCTATTAAAAGCTCGGAATGTTCGGTGCTCCATTAAAGCGTTCTCCATAGCAAAATCAGTTGCATGAATTGTATTTAGAAGTCTGATAACTGTGTCACTGTGAAATGTTCAGCTGTGAGTTTATTCAGTGGAGAATCACGACCGACACGTCGCAATGTTGTTAAGCGGACATTTGTGGCTTTTTATAGGGAGAGCGCTTGCCAGGTGAAAACCCACCACGTCCTGGAACACTGCCGCAGGTTATTTTGAACAGTAGTGCAAGCCGGCGATGCATCGTACAGACTGATTTTTCACTCTGTTATCCGCAGTCGATTGACGGCCAAATATCGCTGATTGACCGATTGGCTTGGTAATGACCCGGCAGTAGTCGTTGAAACCGGTCACAGATGCAAGAGTCGGAGAGTCGTGTGATAAGCGGTGCAGGTGAGTAAAAATATTGTTAATAGAGGCTGACTTCTGTGGTATACTTGTCCGGGTTGTGCAGATAGTGTCCAGCTATACACGCTGGACTTGTCATGGGGATAGTGAGTGCAGTTGCTCCTTGTAGCTGAATACGTCCATAACATGCGAAAATACCATTCTTTTATCCAATGCGGAATCGTTAAAAATTTCTTATTCCGCAAAATAGGATCAGAATCCCTTCAAATGCAAATAATAATTGGGTGTAATTGCCTCCAAGGTCAAGTGAAAACTCCACGAAAGGTCATCGGAAAAGCTTCAGGTAACTGAATATACGAATAATCTTGTAGAAATGAAAGGGGCCGAACCCATCTGTTCGAGCACCATTGAAGAGCAGCAAAGCTGTCCATGAAATGACATCGGAAAAGCTCCAGTTGAATGGAGAAGCAGAATGTTCGTCCGGATATGTAAGGCACCGAAACCAATTGTTTGAATGCCAAGGAGAATAAGCTAATCTGTCTGTGGCGGTGATAAAGTGATGATTCCCACTAAAGTAGAATCAATTTTCACTGACGTAATACTGTTAGAAATTTTGAAGTTAATTTATGATTACCTCGTTTAAAGAAACTTGAGTGTTGGTATTCCAGCGCAAAAAAACTAGAAGAAACGATGCTACGGTGCACTCACAACGTACAGTTTCCGTTTGATGCGACATACTATTGACTGGTTGATAGGGTTGCAATGATCTTTCTCTAGGACCGCTAGTGGCAGATACTTTCCCCGCGAAAAATTGTTAGGCACAAAAGATAGTTCTCAATAAAGCTGTCCGTACACAATGCACAGGTACACCGATGTAGACAAAAATAAAACTAATAGTCGGAATGAAGACTACCTTGGTAATTTTCCATCCATTAGTGAAAATGTTCTGACGGTGGTATTCATCCTCCGGATTGTAAACTTCCCACCCATTGCAGGAAAACAAATTGTCGATGCGACATTGCTCCCCAAATAAATAGGCAAACATTATCTGTTTTGAGAGACTGGGAAAGATGTGGGCTTTCAGATTGTCGCAAAACACGTTTGATCTTGAGGTGTCCTATCCGGCAAAGTAGGATGATGGAAGTGATGAAAACCAACCGTCAAGCAAAACTTCAAATATCTTAGATCTTTGCAAACGATATACAGCCCAACACCTCTTATTACACCATGTTCGCTGTACTTCTGCTCCATGCTTTGGACGACACCAAGAGGGACTTGTAGACAGAACTGACGTTGACTGAGACCCACGAACGAAGGTAATGAATGCAAATGAGCGACGTCCCCAGTTCTGCTTTGTTGACAGAACACAAACTTGTAGTTAGTCAACTACAAACAGACTACGGTTGGAATGAGGAAAAGAAAGTGTAACCTCCAGTGTGCCGGTGAGAACATAGTCTGGAGATATCACGTAGGTTGCTGAACAACAATCAACCAGCTTCTCGGCTGGTAACATGGGATATTTCTGTATGGTGGGTCGTGCGGCATCGGAGGACATGGGTTGTTCACGGTCCTAAAGTGATACCTGGGTAGAAGTAAAAATAGTATTTTAAAGGAATCTTAGAAGAATAAAAAGTTGTCTAGATGACTAAAACAATACATCAGAAGTAACAGTGGAATACCAAGGAGTGAGTAGTGCATAGATATAAAAAATAATGCTTAATCATGCGAACAGTGGAAAAAGCAACCGCAAACAGGCGATGCGTTAATAAAGCAATTATTACCAGCCAATAAGGTGAAGATGTCAATTGCACGTTTCCTAACGCGGATGAATAAGAAGGCATGAACAGTACACCGGCGCCTGGTACAGGTGTTTCGCTGCAACATAATAATCACCAGTAGTTGCATGTGGACTAGAGGCGCTGCAAAATCGCCCGCATCTAAACAAGATCGAAACAGCGACTATATCAGTCAGAGGCTTCACTCAGCCATCGGCTGATTCCACTTAGTGGGGCCAAGTGACTGGATGAAATGAAAAAAGTCTTTAGACAAGTAGATTCTGAACTGAACATAGCAGAGAGTATCGTATAGCGTCGAAGTGATTTTCGTCTAACCGGATTCAATCTGAGCAGGGCCCCAGCAGTTCCCCAACGTTACGATACCAAATATTTACAAGTGTCAACAACCGAAGGGCACCAAAGCAAGAATGAAAGTAAAAGGCTGAATTAGTATGGAATAGAGAAGGTAGAAGATGACGACAGCTCGTGATACCATATCCCAAAACAAGATCACCAAATCTAAGTGATGTGAAAAGGGACCACTGAGACCTTGACTTGCAAACTAGAAAAGTTTTTCGACATATGGATGTCCGTGCAAAAAGATGTTAGCAAAAATACTGTTTTGCGGAAAGAAAGCACACACAAATCAAGCGTGAATAGTTCGCACTAAATATTTCAATACTTTCCCAAGTTTGGTCATTTTGCTGACCGGCCACAAGAACGACCACTGCTGATCCATGAGGAGACAAAGCGGTATGTAACCGAGCGCGTCTCCAGGTTGCAGATAGGAGTGACCGCCTTCGGTGATTAGCTGCGAGATAATCAGGTCTCCGCCTGTAGAATAAGCAGCAGTTACAGTATTCGGTAACGTCGTGGATTTTCGCCTGGTAAGCGGTCCTCCTGTAAAAGGCCACAATAGTCAGTGACAGCAGTGTCGTTGCTGTCACCACTAATCACTAAATAAAATCGCCGTTTGCGAGTTGCGATCCAACGACACAGCGGGTACACCAAATGCCACTTGAAATTCTTTACCGCTGTACCAAGTGTTGCTCGCGGATCTTAGAGGTAAAGGGGTCAACACTAGGCCTAGAGGTCTACCGCAGCTCAGGCTATCTCCATTTGATGAGTCAAAAGGAGAACAGAACCGGTTATGGGGTGTCGCGGTTGGGAGGAGCAACACCGAACCACCAATGCGGATTCAGTCCTTGTGATGGTAATGACCGAGGTCCACTTCAAAGAGGACCGAAGTCTGAATAGAGATTGCGAGTCGCAATCCAACCATACAGCAGGTACGCCAAATGCCACTTGGAATTCTTTAATGCTGTGCTAAGTGTTGCTCGCGGATCTTAGTGCTATAGTGGCGTCAACCTTTGAACACTAGACCTCGAAGTCCACCCCAGCTCAGGCTATCTCCATCTGATGAGTCCAAAGGAGGTCGAAACCGGTTATGGGGTATCAGGGTTGGGAGGAGAAACACCGAACCACCAAAGTCACTGTTTCTTGACTCTCTGAGCAGCATTGTAATTCAAAAGGGTGATGGGCCTTTAAGGACCGAAAGGCGTGTGAATCGCTTAGTCGGTCACCAGATTTTAACGGGTTACGACATCACCAAACCACTCTTCTGCCTTGTAGGTTAGATCCGTGACCTAAGGCTGTGGGTAGTGCCCCCGAGCGCCACCATTACTTCGACCTAGACAACCGGGTAGTATCACGCCCACTGACGAATCATGGAATATATTATTATATTCGTCCTTGCCGTCTATTAGTTCTACTGAGGACACTACCCATTTCTCAATTTGCACATCGCCCCCACATCCCATTCTGTAACTATATGTGCCCTTATGTCCCCCTGGTTACCCCCACAAATGGCTCACTAGTCGCACTTGATGGAACAGTCAACTTGGTGTTCGATGTCTGGCGATCGCAGCTATCTCAAACTTCACCGAAGCCCTAGCTGCTCTTCGATCTGGTTCTCCAAGCTGCCTCGCAGCGTTCAATATTTGCGCTCTCATCATCATCATCATTATACACATCAGCTAGAGGTGGGAAAAACACCTCCGCTATTGTGCCGCAATACATGAAGGAAATACATACATACATATAATACAATACACAAAGCAAAAATAGATACAACAGTTGCATGCCAGCTGAGCTACCAGCAACGGATAGGCATAGTTCCGGTAAGCTTCCAGCTAGCTACTAGGCAAAAAGAAAAAAAATATATTATGCTTTACCCTAGGAAATGAGATCGCAGATGGATGGGGAGGCTAAAAGGGATGGGGCGGGACAAAGAAACTCACAGCAGGAACGCCACTGAAGTCGGCTCCTTTCCATATCAGCAAGTGTATCCAGCCAAACGTGTTCACCGTCTTTTGGACCCCAACCAGCGAGCCGTGAAGCTCCAACCGAGGCTAGCTCCGAAGTGAGGGACTTCATTCCCCTGGACCAAGTCATCGCTTGGCCACCTCTCCTCTTCTTCCACCCACATCCCCGGTGAGCAAACAACGCACGTCGAGGGAGTCGGTGGGCTGGCATGCGTAACACGTGGCCGAGCCATCGGAGCCTGGTGCGGGAAATAACGGTGCTGAGCGGTTCAGATCCTTTTCCTGGGCCGTAAACAATGCATCGAACACGCTCGTTACTCACGCGGTGTTCCCACCAGATGTGAGCCAAACTGCAAAGGCACCGATGGTCGAACGTAAGTAGCCTCTTCATGTCCGCCGATCTTATGGGCCAGGTTCCGCAACCGTACAGTAAGGTCGAACGTACCGCTGCATTGTACACTCTACCCTTCAGGGCGAGAGTGATGTCGCGCCGCCGCCATAGGTGGCGAAGGTTAGCAAAAGCACTTCGAGCTTTCGCTATACGGTTCGTGATCTCGTCTTCGACCCCAAGGGCGCTGATACAACTTCCCAGGTAATTGAATTTCTGAACGACTTCTAGCTGATCCCCACCAAGGGTCAGCGCAGGAGGCGATCCCTGCCAATCTTGGAGAAACGCTTTGCACTTCGATGGTGCAAAGCAAAGCCCGAAGCGGCTGACAGCCAGTGCTAATCTGTCTAGCGCGGCTTGGCACGTCTGGGAGCTGTCACAGATGAGGGCAATGTCGTCTGTATACTTCAAGTCAAGAAGTCTTTCTTCTGGGAGTAGCTCCACACCTTCCAAGTAATGTCCTGTAAATGCAAACTCCATGGCTTCGTCAACAGCGAAGTTGAAGAGGAAAGGTGACAGCGGGCATCCTTATCTCACACCGCTGGAGATATTAAAGGGTAGCGACAGCTTGCCGTAAGCCCTAACTCTGCCCGTGCTACGCGCATATAATGCTTGGATAATATTTACATATTTCTGGGGCACACCTTTCCTGAGTAGACAATTCCAAAGGGCACATCGATCAACCGAATCGAAGGCACCTTTGATTTCGAGGAACACGACTAGGGTGGGCCGCCAATATGTGTGACGGTGCTCCAACAACTGACGCAACGTGAAGATGTGGTCAATGCAGCCACGACCCCGACGAAACCCGGCTTGCTCCTCACGAATCCGGCTTTCACAAGCGCCAATCAGTCTGTGAAGAATTATGGGGGCGATGGAGATCAGACTGATTCCTCTATGGTTGCCGCATTCCGAGCGTGAACCGCCTTTGAAGATGGGAACAATAACGGAGCGGCTCCAGTCGGTTGGGACAGTCTCCTGCTCCCACAGTTTCACTAGTAATTCATGCAAAGCATCCACAAGAGCAGGGCCTCCGAATTTGAAGAGGGCTGGAGGAAGATCATCTGATCCCGCGGCTTTGTTCAACTTCAACAGTCCGATCTCACGTTCGACTTCTGAGCGAGAGGGTGGATCCAAAGGGACAGCCCACGGAGCAGGGCGATCAGTGACCGGCGAATCGGACAATCCTAGCCGATTAAATTGCATTTCAAAATGCTCAGCCCAACGCTCCAAACGTTTTGACAAATTGTGGATAGGCTGTCCACTCTCATCACAAATTGTTTCACTAACACCAGGTCTCCTGCTGCCCGTTTCCCGTATCAGACGGAATAACTTACGATGGTTGCCAAGGGCAGCGGCCACTTCCATCTCTGACGCACGATGAGACCACCAAGATTCGCGGTCTCTCTTCAGGCTAGCACGGAGTTTTGCCCGGAGCTCTTTGCGAGTTTCATTGTGTTCGCTTCCAGCCGGGATATGCCGGCGAGCGTCGATAAGTTCCAGAGACCGAGAAGAGACCCAATGTCCATGTGGGCTTTTAGACATACCACATGAGGATTTGCCCGCTGCTAGTAAGGTCTGGCGAACATGTGACCACTGACCATCAATTGTCTCCAGTAAGCGAGTACTCAACTCGCATGTCAGCGTACATCGATACGCATTCAGAACAGCTGGCTTTGTCAGTTGGCTGGTGTCAATGCGCTCACAGCGTCGTCGTGGGCGTCCTCCAAAGCGCATCCGCATGTCAGCACATACAAGTGCATGATCAGTGTCCACACATGTGCTCCAAATCGAGCGACAATTCTGGATGCAGCCTCTCCAGCGGTAACTTATCGCAATGTGATCGATCTGCGTCCAAGGCTGGTTCGAGGCTGGTGGGCGCCAAGTCACCCTCCGGCGGGTGCTGTGTCGGAAATTAGTGCTCGCAAGAAATAAGCGAGCATCTTCACACAAATGAAGTAACCGCTCACCGTTATCATTACGGGAGCCTACACCGTGCTGACCGTCCAGATGCATTTCATCAGTGGACAACTTTCCAACTTGTGCGTTCATATCCCCCGCCAGAACAACAGTGTCCGTGCTTCTTCTGTGGCGA